CTTTCAGGCAAGAATGATAAGCTGCAGAACCAATGCAATACTCTAAAACAGTTTTTTTCTCCCAGAAGCAGGAAAGGGTAAAGAGTTCTTATGGCATCTGCATGACCTGGAAGGATGTGGCTTTAGGAGATTCTCTAAAAAATTCTGGATATTCAACTCCTCTTTGCCATTGCATGTTCCATGTCCATCATCCACTCTTGTGACTCTGGTGTAAAATGAGCAAAACATTAACACCCCCCACACAAACACATCACACTATTTTTCATTCAGCATTAACTCCCTGCCCCTTGCAACTATTTTTGAATATTTTTCAGGTTTCTCATCTAGAGATATTTTCCAGACATGCGCTCGGCCACAACTGAAGACTCCCTTTATTTAAAAAAAGGAGTTGCAATCATGCCCCCTAGAGTTTCAAGACTTCTTGAAGCTTCATACAGAAGACTGCATCTATTATGTATGTCATTTTCATAACTACTGACCACAGAAAAAAACAGGATAAGTGTACCCTCTTTTGGAAATGACTAACTTAAAGGCTAATCTTGCACAGAACTCCTCATATCATTTTTCCTTAATTAAGATTTGTTTTTCTCCTGTATGTATGTGTATGTGTGAAAGACTGGCCAGCTTGACACTGATACCAGACAACATTCTAGAAGATGTTATGCTGTTTGGTCTAACAACATCTAGAAAATAATGCTCTGGCTATTACATGTCAACATAGTTACATGAGTTTTTATTTCAAGTTATCAAGTATTTTTCCATGTATAAGACGTCCCCATGTATAAGACCCCCCCCACTTTCTACCCAAAATTAAGAAATCTAAGTGGGGCTTAGCAAGTCTAGGGGGAAAGGGATCAAAGCCCTGAGGATCACTTTGATCCCTGCTTTCCCCTCCACTTGTTTTTTCTCTCTTCTCAGCTTACCTCTGCATATAAGATGACCCTCAATTTTTAGTATAAAGATTTTAGACAAAAGTATAGTCTTATACATGGAAAAATATGGTACATAGATCATGGTACACCTTGCTTTCAGCAACTCGTGCTCTTTGTGGCAAGACGGTAAAATGTTTGTGGGCTGGATGCTCTTTTAAGTTATATGGAAACACAGCTGGTTAAACAAACAAGTGTTCATTAACGGTTCTGTGGCAAACTGAGAGAAAAATTGTGATAGGAGTGCCACACTGTTCTACTCTATTGGCCAAGCTGCCTGTGGAGTACTCTCTACCTCTGGGTGCTACATTTAAGGACACTAAAAACCTATAATACATCAAGAGATGAGCGATCAAGATGCTGGGAGGTATACCAACTGAGTCCTGTGAGGAATGGTTGAAAGACCGTTAAGCTCGAAGATGAAATTAAAGGATTGTGGTCTTCAAATATCTAAAAGGCTGTCACACAGAAAAAGGGGCAGACTTATTCTCTGTGACTCCAAGCAAAAAAATATGGGAACCAAAGGGTGCAATCTGCAGAGAAGCAGATTGCACAGTTGAACATGGAAGAAGCTTCCTAATGGTGCAGCCTCTTTCACAGTTGACTGTCTTGGGAAATGATGTGTTGTCCTCCTGGGAGGGGATTCAACTCCCCTGCACCAAGATAAAAAAGGACTTCCATTGACTGAATTCTGGGGCATTTTTCTGACCCACCAGAATTCCAGCACATTGAGGGCTAACAATGTGATTACAATCAAGGTTTAGTCTTAAAGTACACTTCATGTATTTCCTGAACTCATTTATCATTTTAAAATATTAGATATTGTATGAAAAACTCTACCTATTGTGTTACAACGATTTTACACTTAACTGGACTGAAGAAGTACATTTGTCTAAACAGCTAAGACAGTTACAGAGCAAATCTATACCCTCAGTCAGGCTTTCAGCAGATCTTCCGCAGTATCCTTCAGGGCAACCTGGTATAATGTGGACTGTTGTTGTTCTTGTTTAGTCAAAATCTATACCCTCAGTCAGGCTTTCAGCAGGTCTTCCGCAGTATCCTTTAGGGCAAGCTGGTATAATGTGGACTGTTGTTGTTGTTTAGTCATTCAGTTGTGTCTGACTCTTCGTGACCCCGTGGACGAGAGTACGCCAGGCCCTCCTGTCTTCCACTGCCAGTGTGAACTAGAAAATGCTAATATTAGATGCATGTGTAGCTGGCAGGCAGGCCATGGAGTGCTCGCCAATGGCTCCTCGTCATCCCAGAGAGAAGTGGGATGTCACAGGATTCTGTTCTGGGCCATGTGTTGTTATTATGACTCGCATATGTGATCAGACTGAAAGGAACAGCAAATACCTCCAAAGAAAGAAATCAGTGAATTGGCATACCTAGCTCTGGAGCCAGGGGCCAGGCATTCAATTCCTCACCATGTCTCCAGAGAGAAAAGCCAGCATGTGTAGCCCAGGGCAAGCTGTACATTCCTTGAGTATCACCAGAAGTAGGGACTGGTAAACCATAACTCAGAATAGACTTGAAAGCACACAATTATTACCATTAACCGATTGGAGAGTTGGCTGAAGCAACAGGGATAAATGTACGGTGAATAGCTTTATTTGTTACTTATTAACTGCTTAGAGTAGTGCCCAGGACTAAGTCAGTGGTACAGAATTTTATGGAATAAATAAATAAAATGAAAATTAAACAGAAGTGCCAATATAGGATGAGTAGCACCTGGCTTTGTGCTATATGTGTGAAAAAAGACTGAGTGGTCTTGGACTGCAAGTTAAAACACAAGCTAAACATTGAATCAACAGTTTAATGTACCAAGAGCTACTATAACAACAAAAGGTAATGGAGTGCTAGGATGCTTCAATAGAAGTACAAGGTGTAGGACAAAGGAGAAAAGAGTACCTCGCTATTTGACTTTGATCGCAGCTCACCTGGAGTACAAAGTACACCTGGGAGCACCACAGTTTAAGAGGGATATCCACAAGGTATGATATGTTCAATGGAGGGCAAATAAGATGGGAAGCCCTGTGAGGAACACTTGGGAAAATCAGTAAGGGATATCCACAAGGTATGATATGTTCAAAGGAGGGCAAATAAGATCGGAAGCCCTGCGAGAAACACTTAGGAAAATCGGTAAGTTACACCAGCAGAAGGGAAATGATGCAAACTGCAGTGGCAGTTTGCTGCTAATGAAAGAATGCCCTTACTTAAACGTAATTTCATTGTGCATGTCTTGGGTGGCTTCATGTGTGACCAGAATCAAAATGGCAACTATTTAATCAATGGCAATCTGCCACATACAAGGATTTTGGTTAACACTGACTGCAACAAAAATGCTTCTTTTTAAAAGTTACAAGTCTCTAGAAAGTCTAAATATATACAGTACGGGAGTGGTTGTGGGGTAGGGCTTCACTATGGCGAAATGGAAAGTCACCACTATGATTTGAGCCCTTTTGGGATATTTAAGAACAATACAAATATTTTTAGTTGGAACTGTTTATTTCTTTCTCAGATAATTAAGTTCAGCATGTCAAAGAGCAAATCTACAATGGCCCAGTGCCATACCTATTTGGTTCCGATGTATTTTTGATTTGCTTTTTAAAAGTCAATACAAAAGAATGTTTATTTTGATACATTTTTTGTTTCCATATTTTCTGTATACTTTTGACACTCTAATTGCAACCAATCAATCAATCAACCCACAGAATGCTTGGTGGAAAATGGAAATTATGTTCACCCTCCTCTTCTTTCCTTTATATTTGGCTACCTCTGCTTTGTCCAACAGGCTGTGACACAAGAGCCAGTCATTTATACATCACAACATTGGCTAGCAATGCAAACCTTTATTTAAACAATCAGTGATGAAATCTGTATCTAAACAGAGCTGAACAGGAAAAATACATAAGGCAAACAAGCCCAATGAACAAAAAACAAACATTATATTTCAAGGGCAACCATCAACCTCTTTCAAATACTTTGGAACTACTGAAGAACTCAACTTCCAACAGCCACACAACCATCCATGACACACCAGCTTGAAGCACTCACAGAAAACCATAGAAAGCTCTTCAGAGAAGCCCCACGGCCTCCTCACATTCCCAGAATCTGAGCCAGTTTGCAAGCTAGAAATACCATTTCTAAGTTTCCAAATTCCCTGCCATGCAATTCAGAAACTTACTTTCAGCAGATATGACCTCTTGCTTTAAGAACAGCCAAAAAGAAAGGTGAGGGGGGAAGAGAGAGAAAGAATTCTGCACCCCATCATGACCTCTTGCTTTAAGAACAGCCAAAAAAGAAAGGGGGGGAAGAGAGAGAGAGAATTCTGCACCCCATTAGCAGTAACCTCTGCCCAAGCATGCATTCAAAGGCATAGACTGTTTTGAGCCTTGCTCAAAACAGAGTCAGATGCTGCTGCCCCATGCAGAAAACTTACAGTCACACCTCATGCCCCTCCTCTAAATATTTCATGTTATCATCCTGCCTTCTCAAATATATTCTGGCTCCAGTGTCATTGGGCTCCTCCAGCAGAACTGGGATACACCCTGTTGCCTTTTGCCTTTGCATCAGATATCTGAGCAGAAATGAGGCTCAGACCTGGTACACATATACAAAGAGCCCTTGATGCATGCTTTCGGAGCTCTTTTTATTGCAATAAGCATCAAATACAAAGGGGACTCAGGCAAACACATCCTGCATTAAAACACACTGGCCAGTGAGAAACCCCCCCTCTTCAGCGGAATCTGCTCCCCTCCCAAACACCACGGCTTCTCTCCCAGGCTGCTACCAGGCTGCTCTGATTCCTTTGGGGCCAGGCAGTCCCCTTCCCACTTCCACACAGATACTTCCCTGAACTTCTTGTCTTGGCAGGCTGCCTGTTTCCTGAGCAGTCCTGGGTGTGCAACCTGAACCTGGACATCTGCAGGCTCCAGCCTGCATCAGTCCAAGGGATTAAGGTCCATTCATGCAGAGTGGGCTGAGTCCAGATCACTCCCACACCTCTGTCCATATGGCCCTGGTATGACGTGAGGGGATGGTGGGAGGATGCAGCACAAACTCTCCTACCTGTTTATTGGTGTATTTCTGAGGGTTGGTACGGTAGCTGTAGTCTGAATACTGCTCCGAGCCCGTGGAATTGCTGTCCCCAGTGCCCACAAATGTGTTGGTGGCTGGCAGGTCCTGTACTACCTGATGCTTCTTCGAGGCAGATGGCGACTGGGGCTGGAGCTGGATGGAAGGCAGAGGAGAGTTGGAACGGTAGTGGCGGCCCAGGTCAGGGCTGCCTGGTGGATAATTGAGGGGCAGGTGGATGCGGGGGCTGTCACTGACTGAATCATTCATAAGGTTGAATTTGAGAGATTTCTGCAGTCCTGTTTCTTCCTCATCCTCGGCAGGTTTGGGTGGCTTAGGAGATTTGCTCTTTTTCACCTTGCTTTTGGCTTTGTTCCCTTTGCTACCTTGCTTGGGAGCATACAGGTCCTTGGTTTCCTTTTTGCCAGCCTGGTAGCCACTTTTGGCCTCCTTTTGACGGCAGTAGCGCACCAGCACTACAAGCACAATAACCAGGGTGACAGCTACGATGCCCGCAATGACACCAAAGAGAATGTTGCTCCGTTGCTTACTGCGCTCATATTCAGGGTCACCAGCAATGTCAATGTCAATGGGTGTGTCTAAACTGTGGCCCACTAGGGTTTCCAAAAGGGTGCGGTTAGCCAGTGTCTCGTTGACGTAGAAATGGACTAAAGCTGTGCCATGACGAGAAGGCTTGCCCTTATCATTCACACGAACAACCAGGCGGTGAAGGCCATGGTGCTTGCGAAGGATCTCTTTTTCCAATGTGATGTTTCCACTCTGGGGTGAAATCTTGAAAAGCTCGAAGGGATTTCCACCGGTGATGCTGTACTGCAGCTCAGCATTGGTGCCAGAATCAATGTCTTCAGCTCCAACGCTCATGACCTGCTGCCCAGGACTAGTGTGTGGTAGAATGTGTTTGTAGGAGGCATTGGATGGAGAGATGATGACTGGAGCATTGTCATTCTCATCTAGCACATTGATAGTGACCCCAACATAAGCAGATCTGGGAGGGTCACCCCCATCCACAGCTTTTAATCGGAAGGTATAAGTACTCTGACGCTCCCGGTCAAAGGAGATACTGGAGAGGATGGTGCCGGTACCATTCTGGATGACAAAGTCACCATTGTCCTGCTCCACCGAGAGCTGAATAAAGGCATTTTCTCCTTTGTCAGCATCAATTACTGTCACCATGCCAACTGGACTCAATGGTGGCATGTTTTCCATGACAGAGAAGTTGTAGCCACTTAGCATGAACTTTGGGTCATTGTCATTGCGGTCCATGACATTTATGGCAACTGAGGCAGTTCCTTTGCGACTGGGGCTACCCTTGTCAGCTGCAACCACCAAGAATTCATAGCGCTCTCGCTGCTCCCGGTCCAACACAGTCTTCACCCGGATTTCACCAGACTCTGGATCAATGGAGAAAACACCTTTTGATGAAGGCTCTGCTACTAGCGAGTACACCAGCTTAGCATTGGACCCACTGTCTGCATCAGTGGCACTCACTTCCACCACCAAGTCATCTGGGGAACTGTTTTCAGGAAAGGCCACCTCTGTTGAGCTCTGACTAAAAACTGGATCATTGTCATTGACGTCTACCACCTGTACCTTGAGAGAGTTGGTGCTGGACAAAGGTGGGTTTCCAGAATCCACAGCGACAATCTCAATAGTATATTCTTTCACTGCCTCATAGTCTAGTGGTGTTGTCGTCTGCAGAAAATACTTCTTTTTACTGTCACTGCCAGTATCGCTGGCTTGTCGTAATTGAAAAGGTACGTCCCCAGCTACTACGCAGGTCACAACGGCGTTCTCACCCTCATCCCGATCAGACACCTGTACCAGAGCTACAGGTGTCTCCACCGGTACATCTTCAGAGATATTGGCCATGCCATCCTGGTGAGTGACCAAGCCAATTCCACGGATTTCAATAGATGGGGCATTGTCATTCATGTCCCTGACATTGATCACCACCTGGGCACGGGCAGATTTGGGATTTGCTCCCTTATCTTTAGCCAGCACTGAGAACTTGAGCACATTGATGTCTTCTCGGTCAACAGGACCTTGTACGGTGATCAGTCCAGTGCCTCTGTCCAGGCGCAGCAGCCGGCGAACCATATCTGAAGCCTGGTGGAAGGAATAGTCGATCTCAGCATTGGCACCCTGATCAGAATCATTGGCCTTCACCTGCAACAAGAAAAGAAGAAGGAAGTGTATTTTGTCAGGGGAAAAAAAAATCCTGCTGAGGTCATAAAGACACCATATACTATCCCTTGCATCTAGAAGATGACAGACCTCATCAACTGTTACAACCATCACATCAACAATTCCATCCTACAGTAACAGTTAAATTTAATATTTAAAACTAGTAAACAATGTTTTTATTTGACAACATTGTCAGCTGCAAAGTTGTAAACAGTCTGTCCAAATTTCAGCCATTTACCACCCATGCCATTTTTCACTGAGAAAAATATGCCTCGAAAACTGTGTTTCGCTACAACTGGGGCAAGTCGCCCTCTGCCATTTTCCAGCAAGGTCTATCCAGTGCAGAAAAATTCTATTTGTCAGGAGGTTGGGGCCCAATCTGGGGGGATTTGAAACTTCTTCCACTGGAGGGGGACAGTGGGCTTTATTGAGGTCAGGAAATAACCTAGAATATTAAAAAGGTTTGTTTTATCTAATTTTATTTTACTTTTAATTTTGCATTCATTGGTTCTCTGGAGAGGAACACGTTTGACTCTGCACGCAAACATGCCTTCTGGACGATGACATTTTAGTACCCTGCAACATACTGAATGATACTGGTATTCGCACTGTGAACAGAAAATACCTCACAATTCACATAGTGCAATTTTTGGCTCCCCCTCCCTCCTGTTTTACTTTAGTACGTGAAGATGGAAAAGTACGAAAAAGCACGGTGAGATAGTACAGAGATTGGGAGACTTCATCTGTGGAGACATGAATTCAAATCCCATCTTGACCCTAAGGTAATAAAAACTCTGCTCTAGGTCAGATGAAGCATCTTGTTTTTAACAATGACCAGCCAGGCACCTCTACTCTGCATCCTCATCTGCAAGAAGCATTCAGAAATGCATTACCTCTGAACATGGAGGTTGTAATTAACTATCGTGACACAAAGTAACACAAGGCAGTGGCCATTCCCATTCTGTCAAAGTCAGTTATGTGATTTCTGTTCATTCTCCTTTTTGTCCTGAATCTATGGTTGTGCCACTCAATTTCACTGGGTGACCTTGAGCCCAAGCATTATGAGACAGACTCTCTACATAATGAATCTCTCCACATTTTTCCTTCGCACCATATATGATTTTATAAACTTTATTTTCCTGAACATCTACCTATTTTTTTTCTCTGAACTCCGATGTCCCAAATGCCTGGCTTTTTCTAGTAGGAATAATGCAGTCTTGGTCGCTTGATAAACTCCAGGCAATAAATAAAGCATTTCTAGAATTCACCGTTCATGTTCTGTGTTGAACCAAAGTGACAGAAACTATCCATGCCTGCTACCACAAAATATAATCTCATATAATCCATTAGCTGCACACATAATTATCTCTCATCAAACTCTTTTAACATGTATACCACATGACCCCCACTGAAGGCAGCCAGGCTCCTAAATTCTTTCTACTCTTGGCTAAAAGCCCAGATGATGCTTTAGGCTGAAAGGAAGCATTTCTCTTCCCATAGCTTTCAGGTGGAACTGGCTTAGCTGGTCTAATTGACAGGCAGCCTCTCCCACTTTGGTATGCCAGGAATTTGCCAAGAAAACCAGTCTGGAAACCTAGCCAGCAGGTTATTAACTCTCACTAATAGGAAGGAAGGAAGGACCATGCTGAAGGTTATCTGCAGATAAACTCCTCTGGCTGTTGACATCACCTTCAGAGACATTAAAACCACTGCTCTCTTGGCTCGGGGCAGGTGAGTTTTGGAAGTTATAGTCCAAAAATTAATTTCTCCAAACTTGGATGCATAGTTCTTCTGTCAGTAATATTAGGGCAAGCAAGTGAAAAAAATAAGATCACTTGCCTGCCCCCTCCCTTTTGAGATGCCACTGGACATGAGGGGAAAAAATTGCTCAGTTATGCAATTATAGTTTTATATCACTAATGAAGTGGTCTGAAGGTGCTAAAAACATTTTCTTGCTCAATTCACTTACATGTAACAGAATCTAAACATCTGGGGTCATAGGTACTAGCACTAAAGAGTATTAGCAAAGTCTGGATGTGGTAGTCCAGTCCTCCAGTTAGACTGCCTCAAGGGTCAGTCTTTGGAAGATCCATTATGCAAAACCAATAAGCCATCCAATATGTTAAACTATAAGTGAATTACAAGAGAATGATCTGATCAGCCACGGTCTGAGGTACAGGTTCAACAGAACTGGGAGCCATTGAAACGCCTAGTTTTAACTAGTATTTCTGAGTTGGAAGTCATGAAAACCTTGTGAGAAAATCAGTGAAAAAAATGCAAGAGATAAACTTTTATATTTAATCTGTAGAACAGAGATTACCAATGAGAAGAGATTTCTACTCACTATTTTTTTCTCATCAAAGCCTATAGAAAAGAAGGTTCTACTCTCCAGAACAACCAAGATAAACAAGTAAGATATTTTCTTCTGACCATTGTATCAATTCATTAATTCTAGACCTCTTTTTCAGTGACTTCATGAAGACATTAATAAGATTACAAATGTAAATAGGTCAGATATAAATGCTACTTGCTCTAAAGTGAAAGAAGCATTACTAAATGTGATCAACAGCAACCAGCAATTTCTTAGAAGTAGAAATGAAAAGTAAAGAAAAATAAATATATATTAGAGATTATAGAAGTAAGATGGAAAAAAGAGGACATAATACAAACACAAATACACATGACCATCCAAGACAGAATTAAGGATGCCAAAGAAAAAAGACAATCCAAAAAATTTGCCAAAATAGAAAACCTAGAGAGGATCCATGATTCTGTCAATGTATAGGAAGAAAATAAGGGTGTAGTAACCATGTTCAAGAAAATAC